AGATAAACACACACACACACACACACACACACACACACACACACACACACACACACACACACACATACACACACACACACACCTGTCCCAGAACTTCTGAAGAAAACGGGAACGACTGAACAACAGTATATGAATATATTATATTATATAATTACTTTTAAGTTATTTAAAATATGAGATGGTAGTTTGCGTAAAAAGGCTTAAAAGAGAGAAGAGAGAATACATTATCTTAAATTTCAAATTACCGATGCAATGTTTAATCTTTCAATATAAGTACTTTACGAGACCTTCCTTACGGACAAAGCGTGGTCGGAGAGGTTACTCTCTCTCTAAAAAGCTTAGAGACAACAGAGAGAAGAGAGGGAGGAGAGAGTTCAAAAGAAGAGAGATTCCGTGTCGGAGAGTCTTTTGGTTATCAAATTTGTTGCACTTGGACTTTGGTCTGTGAAAAGAAAAGTTGCTTTTTTATTTCGGTCTTAGCAATTTCAAGTATTTTAGTTAAAGGGAAACAACATGAACTATATATCATTAATAACTGTCTCCCGAGTGCATCGAATCACAATGGAGCCCATTTTATGAATGTGAAACCGATATTTACTCATCTATATTGCTGATTCTCGTTGACTTAAAGTCTTTTTATATATGTATAAACAGTTTTTGCTACGTTCCTAAAACATTATTTTGTCAAGCAGTACTTTTGTTTTACCTTTCAACTGCTAGCAACTATATTGCTAGGAAGAAATACTAAAGAAGTGTACTAAAGGTTTTAAATAAAAATGTGCACCTACAGCAGGATGACGAAGGCACTGCAAAGAAAAGAAGACCTTATGTATGGACGTCATAAAGGTGGAGAAAATGAATGAAAGAACAGAAAACGTGGCAATCTCAAGGTTGCCTTGGACGGCTCGAGTGTTACCCTTTTACGAACCTTATTTATTTTCTGTAGATCTTTCATTATAAGATCATTACCGTTAGAATGTACTTCCTTACCGAAGTTCCGAGACATGCACGGACAAACACACGCACGCATTTCCCTGCATTTTCGGATATTCTTGATTAAGATGCAACTTTCTCGTTTAGATATATTTATATTTTGGTTGCAGAACTTCTTAATCTGCCGCCTATGTGTGTGTAGGTATGTATACGTATGTGTGTGTGTGTGTGTGTGTGTGTGTGTGTGTGTGCGTGCGCGCGCGCGCGCGCGTGTGTGTGTGTGTGTGTTGTGTACAATACACACACACACACACACACACACACACACACACACACACACATATATATATATATATATATATATATATATATATATATATATGTATATATATACATATATATATATATATATATATATATATATATATATATATATATATGTATATATATATATATATATATATATATATATATATATATATATATATATATGTATATATATATGTATATACACATACACGATTTTACGCCACGAGCTCCCCTCGCAAGGACTAAGACGGAACATTTATTCGAAAGACGTGGGCTTTAGCAGGTGGAGACCGTTACTCTCCTCCGTTTAATTTCGGATCCATTGGGCATGATTTGGGTGACCGACCCTCATGGTTCCCGGTCACACGCGTTACCGCTCCACCTCGCTGGCCTGGGTATGTATGTATGTAGCCTTGTCCCGCTTAACACGTTACCCGCGTCTTTGCCCACATGTGTACCACTAACTATATTCCCTTATTGGGAGTTGGTACACCGGTGGCGCAAAGATAAGTAAAAAAAAATATATATATTTAATGTATTTTGTCCTTTTTATACATAAATTGGCTATGGATTTGGCTTTCATACATTAGCAAGGGACATGAATGAGTAGAAAAGTAAGCACAATAAAACATACGAGTTTTCTTCCTCATAGCTTCATTGGGATTAGCGTTAGGGCGTTGTGAAGGCCTTCGCGATAGCGGGGAGTCTTGGTTTTGTCATAACGCGGGTAACGTGTTAATCAGGGTCGGCCGCCCGAATCCTCCTTCGCCATCCTTTCCTATTCCCAACAAGTTCCGTAGTCAGATTCAGCTCCCGCAAGTCCCTCTTGATGTTGTCCTCTATAGACTTCCACTGTCAAGTTCGTGATGTCCTTAGCTGGCTGCCCGTTCTGAGCTCTTTCAAGATGTCCAAACCATCGCAACGTACTCTCCCTGATCCCTTCTATAATGTTACATACTTTCAGTTCTTTCCGGGTGCCATCGCTCCTTTTCCGGTCGCGTAGCGTAACGGCCATAATCCTTCGCAGCATCCCCATTTCAGTTGATACGAGCAACCTTTCTTCCTTTGTCAACGCACATGTTTCCAAGCCGTGCACTATGACTAGTCTTACCACTGTTTCGTACAACTTGACTTTTATCTTTCTTGGCATCCGTTTGTCATTGATCACACCAGATAGTTCCCTCCACTTGTTCCAGGCCGCTTTAACTCTAACTCTAACCCTGATAGCTGGCTCCGAACCACCTCCCTCACTCACCAT